CAAAACCCTGGAAAATCCAGGCTCTTGCTCATGTTTATCACCTACACACCAGAAGGTACCTCTTTTTTTCCAACTTTCCTACTGTGTTTTCCCCAAAATAAGACATTTTTGCTCCAAAAATGCATTAGGGCTTATTTTCAGGGCATATTTTAATTTTTTCATGTATAACAATCTACATTTATTTAAATACAATCATGTCATCTTCTTCTGGTTGCTGAACAATGGTGGAGGACAGGGTTTCACTTAACTGGGGCTTATTTTTGGGGTACGGCTTATATTACAAACATCCTGAAAAATCATACTAGGGCATACCTTCAGGTTAGATTTAATTTTTGGGGAAACAGGGTATCACTGTATGCAGAAAACAACAATGGAGGGGATGGAGGCAGGTCCTCCCTCTAAACATGTTCTGGAAAATGGGTATTTTAAAACTCCAAGAGGATTTTTATGTACATTAGAAATAAACTGCATATAGAAGAGCCCACAAGATAACCAGTGGACACAGAGGTTATAATCTCGCATATCAGCCACCCACAGCCCATCAGGTATACTGAAACATGAGATCCATCATGCCATCCAATGACTGGGGTTTATGATTGCTGTAGTAGTTCAACACACCTGGAAGACTGCTTTTAAAACACAATCTAGTCGTTGTTGTTAAGTTGTGTCTGACTCTTCGTGACCCCATGGACCAGGGCACACCAGGACCTCCTTGACTCTTCGCCTCCTGGAGTTGGGTCAAATTCATGTTGGTCACTTAGATGACACTGTCCAACCATCTTGTCCTCTGTCGTCCTCTTCTCCTCTTGCCTTCACATTTTCCCAACATCAGGGTCTTTTCCAGGGAGTCTTCTCTTCTCATGAGATGGCCAAAGTATTGGAGCCTCAGCTTCAGGATCTGTCCTTCCAGTGAGCACTCAGGGTATCTACTAGTAGGCCTCCCCAAACTCAACTGGATATTTCAGAGTAGAGATATTTAGGTTTGATCTCTTACCTTTAAAGGCATGGGTGGATTGAGTCCTATAGGATATATGCTATGCCTAGCTACCTCTCCTTTTTTAAAAAAGAAAAGTTGCTTTTAAAAAATCCCCTGTGCGTTTGATGTTATGGAGGGAATTTTGCAGTAATTTCATTCCCACAGCCCCCACCTTTCCACCCTCTTCAATTTTTTTTAAAAAATTAACAACAAAACGTTGGCCACTAGAGGGCACAAAGGTTTTTTTTTTAAGTTTCAAACAGCCCTATTTGAAAGGAAAAAAAATATTTTGTGTTTGAATGGGTCATGGTAGTGGGTGTAGCTCTTTAAGGTCCACGGGTGGGCATGTGTCATCCTCAGACCTCTGAACATTGCTCAGTCTTGCTTTAGACCCATACAAAGACTAACAGAAATTGCAGGAGACCACAGGGTTTACACAGCAAAGCTTCCCAGTGCATTGTGACTTATTATCAGTGCCTTTCGACTTATATCCCAGTGCCTTGTGCCTTGCTATAATTATTCTGGTGGAGATGCACCACCCTAAAGCCAAATTTAGGCAAGACAATCTGTTTCTGTATACTAGAAATACACTTTCCCCAAACCATGAATATTTCGTTAAATTTTGTACCTATAGCATAAAATGCCTAGGCACTGTAGGTGATAAAAATGCATCCACCAGAGATAAGTTCTATTCTGACCCTATCTCCCCACCCCACCCCCCATGAGTAATAGCTTGGAAAAAAATGTTAATGGGTGTTACAGCTTTTGAAAAAAAAAAATGGTGCGCTGCAAGGGATTTCAATTTAAAATAGTACCACCAAAGAGCAATTGAGCATATCATTATAACAGCCAGTCAGGGAAGAATTTTGAATACCACTGCCCCTCCATTTTTTTTAAAAGTTACAGTAAGGGTTTATGTGGCTTGGTGCTTTAATCTCCTTCTCTTCCTCTGCCTTTCATCAACTCGTAAGAAGCATGGTTGCCCCGTGCTTGCCTACCAGCATTTTTATCTTAAGGGTCTATTGATCCATAAAATGACAAGAGTCCTCTATGTAGGGATCTCAGAGGCTTTGAGACATTATACTTTGCTTTTAAGATTTCATGTGTGGTTCTTGAAGCTTTGTTCTATATTGAGCAAATTACTCTATTGATCTGAAGGCAGTGAGAGCAGATTTCATATACGCTGGCTTCCCTATGACTTTAAGACTTCTAACTTGCCCAGCTTTATTGCAGATAAGGTCTATTTCTGTTTCAACTCAGTATCTCATGTCAGCCCTTTCCATTTTATTTCAAACTTTCATTGTTTGGACATTTCTCGAGTAGACGTTGTCTAGGGAGGCGGGGTAAAAATTGAATAAATAAAAAAAATAAATAAAATTTCTTCCACAAAACATGCATTTTGTATGTATTTCCCCTAACCTGAACATATACAATGCACATTTCATACACACTTCAATTAAAAAGGTAATCATTCTTGTACATATCTTAAGCCTAAAATGTATGTTTTAGTACATGTTGTGGTATTTTCAGTCAAAAACCCAAAATCTGAACAGTAATGACTCAAAGATAACTTTATATCAATGTATGTATTAGTACAATGAGTGCAAATTAGGTTTGCTCATTCAAAGATATGGGACTAAATAAATGCTGAGGCATCCTTAATTACAGATAATAATATAATAATTATGTGACATCAAGTTAATTTTGAATTATGGTATTTAATTACAGATAATAATATAATAATTATGAGACATCAAGTTAATTTTGAATTATGGTGTTCCTTTCCAGGATTTTCTAGATAGAGAATACTCAGTAGTGGTTTACCTTCTGGGGATGCCTTGGGACTGTGCAGCTTGCCCAAAGCCACACAGGCTGGCTCTTCTCTTGGGATGTATAGTGGGGAATTGAACTCTCAACCTCCAGCTTCACAGCAAGATACCTAACTCACTGAGTTATCCAGCCAGCTAATCACAGTTGTGCAGCCTTAATTGTTGATGCACAGCCACAGCATTCAAATGTAAGAATTAGTATCACATCTGCCAACTTGCTTTTTGGAGTCAACACTACCTCTTTTATTTTTATTTCAATATAGGCAGAACCTGTTTATTAGCAACACTAAAAAAGACACAATGGGGATGCCTAATGATTATTTTGGGCTGCCATGAACCAGCTATTTTTCTGATTCCAACGGAAGGCAGCCATTCACTGTCTTTCTCTGAATCATTGCACCATCACAGTCAGACCTACTGGATTAGTTAGTGTGCCCAAACAAAGGCTATCAATATACGTAGAGCAAGGAGGAGGTTTACAATAGCAGGTATTCATCTGACCTGCTGTGTTCATTGGCTTTTTTGCACAAAGTAATAAGCCAATGGCTTTACAACTTGCACCTGTTTTGAAACATTCCGTACAAATATTTTCTACAGAACCAAATCTTCCTTTAGACTCTAAAGGTACTTCTGGAGCTGGGGTACTTCAGTCTGGACTTCTTGGAAACCAATGGAGTATTTACTCCACCTCTCCTCAATGTGCATGCATCTGGACACATGAGTGCACACACACATGCACACACACACCTGCTTACAATCAGTACTATTGCACTACTATTTCACCACTGTGTTATGGTATCAGGGAACCTCATTTGAACTCCATCATCACATAAATAGAAGGGATTACAGCATATTTCCGCAAGGCGTATGCATTGTAAGCATCCACTTATTATGGTCAGAAGTTTCTACTGTGATGGGTTATTACCATCTGGATCAGCAGAAGGCAATATGAGACAGAAACAAAGTACAAGAGCTTTTGTCAGTTTTTGGTAGAAAACGTTTCTTCATATTGCTCTAAGTGGAATCAAGTCAGACATTAGAGTATGGAAAAGACAGATGTCTTGTTTAGATACTTTGAATCACTCACTAGAATAAGAAGCCCTTACAGCAGTCATCCTAACTTCTCAAAACAAAGGACAAAAATACTGGAACATTTAATTCCACATCCCTGTTTTCCTTTATGTTAAATTCAGATCTTGGAATTATCTTGTTACAAGTTATTACTTATAATGTATGATTTTGATCAGATCGGTGTTGCTTTTGAAAGCAATGCTAATAATGGCAATGTCATTACTCTTATTTTGTAAAACAAATAATTTGTTACCTCTTAGGACAAAAAATGATTCTGGGGGCATTGTGAGTGTAAAAAACCTCAGTTTGGAGCTGATTGTTTATCACTATAGATGAGTGGTTCCCAACATTGGGTCCCCAGAGGTTGTTGCACTAAAACTCCCAGAAGCCTATGCTGGCCAGGATTTCTGGGAGTTGTAGTCCAAGAATATCTATGGACCCAAAGCTGGGAACCACTGATATAGCTCTATTTTTTTTCAGAGAAAAGAACCAAATGGGGAATAATGTAATGAGTAAATAACAAATAACTTTTAAAAAACCATAGCAAGTAACAATTTTTAGAAAATAATTGTTCAAGCTTTAGTTATATTTCTTTCTGGGATATATTGAAAAGGAATTGGATACTTTATCCTCACTTTTATAGCCTTCAAAACGTATTGCAATATAACAAAAAACAAAAAACAACAACCAAAAAACACTCTGGATTTACCTATATAAACACAAGTATATTTGTGGAACTGAATGCCACTTTTTAGCCATTTTAGAAAGAAAGAGAAAGAGAGAGAAAGACTTTTGAGGAGGAGCATTTCCCCACCATTTCTGAAACCAGCATAGACCACATGAGTCTCACCCGCAAAAACTGGAAGCAAAAAATGATTCCCTACTGAAAACCCCTCCCAGTTTCCCCAAACCTAGGAAGGATTGTTTTTATTGCTTGTTTCCTTGGTTAGATGGTTGTTTTGCTAAAGCAAAATGTGGGGTGCACCTTGTTTCAGAGGACACTCATGGCCCCCTGGACGATAAGCAAACAAAAGGAATCTCTGGGAATCCGAAAAGGAGCCCTGTGTGATGTTCACAACAATCCATTGTATACCATTGTGAAGAAAGCATCACGTGACACTCACCATAACAATGTTGATCCAGGGGTTCAGCTTCTTTCCAGGAACGATCCTGCTTTTAAAGAGAAGCTTGTTGTTTCTTCACTCTTAGCAACTTGCCACATGGAGGCTTAAGTCATGTCACAGAAATGTAAGGGAGCTGCTTTTCAGTGCGATCACAGAAGAGGAGGGTGAAAAGACCTAGGGAGAGAATGAAAAATACAAATTCAGAAAGCTCAAAGATTGAGGGTTACTTTTCCCCCCCATCCAACATAGTGCAATCAAGGGGCATAAAGAACAGGTCACCTGCTCCCAAGAACTTCCAGTCTAAAATTCAATATAATGGAGGCGATGTAAGAGTGGGAGGACAAGGAAACAGGGGTAAGCAAGGGGAGTATATGCATGTATTTATTATATATGAATCTAGTTATGTTATGGGTTCCCAAGATTTGAAATAAAAATTGTGGCATGGACAAGGGCCTTTTAAATGAATCCCCCTTGGCCTGTGGTCTAAGGATAGAAGGGTATGTTAGAATGTCTCAGCTTCAGGGGTGAAATCTGGCTGTTCTGACTGGATCTAATGGCAGATGCTGTGGCAAGGCCTGTCTATTTACCCAACATGCCAGCATTAAAGAGAGAGGATGACAGCGGAAGTCTATGAAGGGTGAGTGGGGAAAACCCTCTGTTGTCCAAAGGAATTAAGAAGCTTGCCAGGCCAGTTGACTTGGTAGCCCTGTGTGCAGGTTAATATGAGAAGCAGATGCAGAGTCTGTCTTGAGTTCTGAGACTGAATGGTGATGTCTGCCATGGAGTTTGGAAAAAAATAACTTTTAAAATTATAACTCTTACAGTCCCTCAGCCAGAACAACCACTACAAAAATGTCAGGAATGGATGCCTCTTGATCCAGGTTATAGCCTGTTCATGAAACACTTTGGTTGAGATGCAGATTTAAATCATCCTTAGAGCAAAACGAAAGACATCAGCAGGACAAAGCTAACTTAACTGTATGAGTTAAGTATGAGTGTACAGTATCTGGATCTAACTCCATAGTTTTGATTGTTCGTAAGGTGCATGGCCGTTTTGTAAAAGTTAATCTTTTGGGAAGGTTTTTTAAAAAACATTGGTATTGTCCTGCAGCTAGCAAATATCATTTGAAAAGTGTTCACGAGAGCAGCATGTCCTGGACAGTGAATGAACAAAGTCTGGAGATTGACAACTCTCTGTATGTGTGTGTTTGAGAGGGAAAAATATTCTAAATATAAGAAGATAGCTGTTAGGCTAGATACATGCACAAATCAAAAATAGTATGTGTCAAAAAGTCCATGTTTGGTAGAAATTAAAGGTATGGCATAGCCAAGTCTCTCCAGACAGACATTTTCAAACAACATAATCTAGTGCTAGAAACAAAGGATAAAAGCATTAAGCAAATCAAGTTAAATACTGAGTCATTAATGTGTAACAATTTGATTTTCCCATCTGCAAGATATTTAAAAATTGGACAGCTAGCACGTCAATGCAATATTCCTATTTATTTACATAAGAATAAATTTCCAGGTTGCCTTTTAAGTCCTCACAAGGTGTCTTTCAAGAGATCAAAGAGAAAATAAGCCATCAAATTAATTCAACTTTTAAAAAGAATACTGAATATATATGGAGGGCTTTTTTTTTTTTTTTTTTTTTTTGGCTATAACATGTACCCTCTCTGACTTTCTGATACTTCCTGGCTTTTCTGCACATCATGTGTGCAATAGGTCCTAATGCAACTCAGTGGTCTTAATGCAACTGGGAATTTTTGGTGAGGATTCAGGTAATAATGTAGAGTCTAGACCAGGGTTGGACAGAGGGCCCAGCCTTTGACCTCCTGCAAACCACTGGAAGCTGCACTGCATGACTGAACATATGCAGGCATGCAAACATACAGTACACATTCTAATGTACTAGAATGTGTACACAGACCTATTATATCATTCTAGAATAGCATGGACAGTACATGCAATGAAGGTAATGCACCAGCCCTGTTCTCTCTGTTGTTACTTTCATCACATGATAAAGACAAGTCTTACTCAGTCATTCTGATGCACAAAAACACCAAGTCTTTCACAGCGGAAATTTTAGCCCTGTCCATTCTTTATGGCTTTGCTCACACCACCAGCAGCAATGAGTCTGAGGAAGAAAGGGTCATCTTTAGGCTGTACGGAATCCTAGAAGAGATGGGCACTTGTGCAAGTGGGACCCTTCTCCTCCACAGACACATTGCTCATGTAAGCAAAGTGATGAAGTAAGGAGCTAGTCTTTCCTCATAATGGTATTGATAAATCCACATTTCATAAAGTCTGAATACAGCTACAGATGGAAGAGAAGGAGGCTGTTATATCTGTGCAGATTCTCCACATAAGCCAGACCACTATCCCCATTGGGGTTCTGGCTCACGTGGAGAGTTTACATTGAGGGCAACTCATGGATATATAAGGCTGAGACGACTCGAGTTTTTACAACTTCTTGTTTGAATGGGAGGGACCTTTCTGTGCTGGGGTGACTATCAATGTATCTAGCACTGGCCAATTGTTCTCTCCCACCTCTGAGCCCTACCTCTCTGCTGAATGTTCCTTTCATCTGTTGTGAGCAGTCAGTATTTTTCTTAGTTTGATATTGATCTGTTCATATCTGTAAGTAATGAAATTTTTTTTTAATTCTTTGTCCTACAGATGTCTCAGAATGAGTTACTGAGACCTTAAGTTCCATTTGTTGAGAAAAGGGTGGACTATTTGGGGAACTTGAAGCTATGCTGCTCTGTGAGTCTCTATATTTCTACTGCACAGTAAAGGGATTTTACCAGAAAGTTAAAACACCCCCCTCCTCACCCTTGTAAGGCTTCATGTGCCAGCCTGCCCCCTACACAGACTGTGTCAAGTGATTAAAGAGATCACAGAGGGAAAGGGGCTAGCACATTCCTCTCACTGCTTGTGTTGTCCACACACTTTCAGAGCTAGACAAACACACACACACACACACACAGAGAGAGAGAGAGAGAGAGAGAGAGAGAGAGAGAGAGAGAGAGAGACCCAGAAAATTGCTGTAGCAGATTCCTGGGGTAGAAGGAAAACTTCAACTTTGCTTTTATCCCACTGATATTGCTTTGAAGGCATAGACATTACGTAAGATAGTGTCACGGGTCTGATAAACAGACAATTCTAATATGGATGACCTTTGAGGAAAGGATGCCTGGACAGCGAGTTTTGAATGCTGGGGATGATGAAAACAAGGGCACCTTTCAACCGTATGCAGGTTCAAGCTAAGGTAGAGGCAAGGGTGACTAACAGTGATGGCAGACATCTCTGCTCATGATATGCATGAACAGCAGCTTTTCCATGCATTTAAAGGCCACTTTATAGAGTAATGAGATTAGAAATGGCAAACTGTATCTAAGGAATGGAAATGAAAGCAACATGCCAGACTCAATCTGCCTTGAAACTCTGAGATGGAACATCACAAGAAACGAGGCAGTGCTTCTGAATGATTCATTATTATTTCTGTTGCATTTTTCTCCTCTTGGACACATCCACATGACCACCTCTGCACTTCAGAAAACAGCAAAACGTGTCTTCCTTTCACATGAAAGTGAGGTGTCTTGTGGAGCTGAAACATTCCAACTGAAATCAGTGAGAATGAACAATCTGAATTACATTTCTTCTCCAAGGAGATATGTTGGCATAGGAGGAAATCTGAACCATTAGAATGTCAGCAGTGGATGTTGGGAAAAGGTGGGGGATCAAATTATTTTTTTAAGTGGTTGGAAGTGGAAAGAGGATATGTTCAGACATTTTTGAGAGCATCAGTGGTGCAGTGGTTAAACTGTAGTCCTGTAGCCAAGACTCTGCTCATGACCTGAATTCATTCCCAATGAGTTCAGGCAGCTAGCTCAAGGCTGACTCACCTTCAATCCTTCTGAGTACCCAGCTTTTACACACTATGGGCAATATATAAGCAGCACACTTTGCTTTGGAGTCTTCTGATGATATATTTGGAACTGTACCTTTGGAGTCTTCTGATGATATATTTGGAACTGTACCTTCTGATTCTACAAAAAAAACCTTGAAAACTATATAATGTAGATTGGGGAGCAACCTCTGTCGAGAAGCCCCTCTATCATTTGTTAGGCCCTATGTCTGCAACACCATCAAAGATAGGCATAAGCAAAACCAGTGGTGACTTTGGATGCCAACTGGTGCACTACGAATTCACTCTGGCTTTTAGTGTGGCATTACAGGAGCTGTCCAAGATGCTAAATATATTCTGGGCACAGGGCGAAGGAACCTGTATTTCCACAGGAAGAGAGCACAGTATAGGAAGTAAAATGTAAGAAGCAGTCTATTCTAGTCAGTCCATTCCTCTCTCAAGGTATGGATCTTCTACATTAACTGGCAATAACTCCCCACTCCCATGTCTGTCTTTGAAGACAAAGATCTTGGCTTCACCTGGAGGGAGGTAAGAAAGATTGAGAGTGGCTTGTTTGGAAACAAAAAGCATATGCTCCATCCCTGGATGACAACCCGTTGTCTCAGTGACTTCCATATTTGTGGCCCTTCCATTGCAGAGACAGAATACATTATACAGACTGTTCAAATTTACATAATCTACACAGTTGGCATTGCTCTGCTTGCTTTTTTTGGCACAGAATTTTGATTTTCTTTTAAAATTTAAAGTGCTAAAACACATCAGCCTTCACTCTATGCCTCTGAACCTAGGGGTGACTGGGAAACACAATCAGTCTTGCCATTAGGTCGGGTGAGGCACTTGCCTCATAGCAAATGATTTGGGGTGAGGAACCTGTCTTGCACCTCCCCACCCCGACCTCAGAAAGTCTGCTGCCCTCAGGATTCTGTGAAAGACACTGGGCCGTTGCCAAGGTCAAAGTAAAATTCAACCAGCAGTCTGCTCAGCTTCTATTCATTTAATGGGAAACGAATACGATCTTGTAATGTACAAAATTTCCTGGGCTAGCTTTACTGGGAGCCACCAAAAGCTTAATCCTGAGTAAATTTCCTGAGAAGAACGTCCCACTAAGCTCACTGGGGCTTACCCTCAAGTAAATATGCCCCAATGAGCATATGTGTAAACATGCTCACGGCCTGAGTTAGGCTGTGACAGGATTTTGCTCTCCACATAAAGATATTTGGCATGTGGTCCATGTTCTATGCCA